AAATGGTGTTTTCTTGGAAACTGGTGTTTCTGGGCACTGGTACCCCACAGATATCAACATTTTGTGGGAGACTTCACAATCAAAGCCGCTAACAAACACTAGCTCCAGCCAGAAAAGTGCCAGTGTATCTCCTTGGTGCATTCTATCTGTCTACTCCACTGAGCGAATCCAAGGAGAATCACTATGTACTCCTGCTTCCACACTGGGTAGAAGGACTATCTTAGATGCAGAGATTTGTCGTTGTGACATGTAAACAAGAACTAGGGACTGGGCGGTGGCACAGTGGAGATGTGGCTGGACCCACATGGAGAAGAGGGAGAGAACGTGTCCTGAGTTCCCATTCCAGACCTCCCTGCATGTACCATTTGCACATGTGAGTGCCCAAGGTCCAGGCCTGCTGAGGCTGAGGCTGGGTGGTGATGTGGGGACCTTGCTGGGGTGCTTCCCCCCCTTCCTTTCTCTTTCTTAGAGGAAATAAATTAATGAACTTTAAAATATAAGGCCTTGGGATCAGCAGATGGTATAATAGTTACATCACTGGACTCCCGCTTGGTTGTCCATGGTTGGAGTCCCAGACCCAGTGGCTTAAAACTCATGCCAGGTGGGACCAGCAGATGGCGTAATGGTTAGGTTGCTGGACTCCCATGTCGTCAAGAACGCTTCGCGTCCCGGTCCTAGACCCAGTGGCTTAAACTCACACTGGGCATGTGTGTGTGCGTGCCCAAGATCCCAAGAGGAGAATGGAGAAGAGATTGTGGTGTGGCCATCCCCCCTGGGGGGGTGATTTCTCACTTTTTGTCTCTCTGTCTCTCTCTGTTTTTCTGGCGAGCGCACGCACCCTATAGCAAAAACCTCTCAAAAACAAAAACAAAAACCCTCATGCCAGGCACATGTGCATGTGTGCCCAAGATCCCAAGAAGAAAATGGAGGAAAGAAATAGCAGTGTAGCCAAACCCCTGGGCATTGATTTCTTGCTTTCTGTCTGTCTCCACAGCAAGCACACACACGCTATAGTAAAAAAATTTCTCTCTCTAAAAAAACAAAAAAAAAAAATTAAGGCCTAATAGCATTATTTCTATCTGCTTTTTATTATTTATGTTACCTAAAAACTATCAGGATCAGTTTTAGTGAAGGAAATATCTCAGAAAACTGCAAATGTCTTCCAAATCCCCAAGCAAACTTTGTGTTGAAAACAAACTGCTGAAAGAAATAGAATGGTTCACCTTTAAAATAAGACCTCTGGGATTGAAGGACATAAGGCCACCCCCAGACATCCTTGGTCCCACCTCCCATACTGAAAAAGGCACCTATATTTTTTAATAAAATTTTTTTAGTAACATGTTTTAAAATACAGTTCCCTTTCTTCTTCTCAGTTTAAAAAACAATCCAATAAAAACTCTAAATCATGACTCAATTATTTTGAAGTGTGAAAAAGACATATTTTAGATTACGTAACAGACACACTTTCTCCCAAGTAAATGTTGTAGCACAGCATCTGCTGCTTGATATTTGAGAGCATGCCCAGAGAACTAAATACTTCCCTCTCTTCCTTTACTAATGGTTTATGACAAATTTATGACACTATATTTCACAATAGCGATACCAAAAATGTCTGACCAAGAAGAGCCTGACAGAAATCACTGGTATGCTCAAATTAGACAATTTATGTAACTATCATGTTTACATCAATCCTTTGCCCCTCACTGAGACCCTGAGGGGAAGGAGAAAGTCCCCACACTGAGGGGAAAGAGAAAATACAAAGCAAAGGAAGATTTCAAGCCCAAGAAAGAGTTGAAGACAAGAAAGTAAAGATCCAGGTGCCGTATTTTTAGCTCTGGTTTATGAAAACCTTCAGTCTGTTCTGTTGCCCAGAATTCTGAATTTAATGTAGAATGTTTGTATGAAATTATCTCGGGTTTGGCTAAGAAATTACCAAATTCTTGCTGTGAACAAAACTGTATCTTTGTTCTAATGTAACTAAATGGAGCAGCCATATCTGGGTATAATCGAGGGAAAAAAATCAAGAATTTTACCCATGTGTCATTTCCTGACTGATAAGACTGTAACCATGTTCCTTTCTTGCACTCTGTACAGATAAAACTTCTAAAATAAATAAATAAATTTCTATGTCATTTACTATACAGAATATTTCAATATCTGTGGCAAATTTTAAAAACGTTTAGAAAGTTTTATGACTTAATGATACTTATGGTCTGCCTTCTATTCTTCAAAGGAAAAAATATTCTATGAACAACAGACAAGAACACATGTTCCTTCAAAGGTGTAAGAGTAGAGACTTGATGACCCAGCTGCTCTAGTGCCATGTGGTACTGGAACCACAAAGGACGCTCAGTTTTGGATTCCGGATCAAACTGAACACACAGGGTTCACCTAAACACAACTGTGACCCTGTCTATCTAGGAGGCTGGGGAAAGGATCACAGTGTGGTGAGACTCTGTCCAAGGTACCAGTCTCTCGCTCATGAGAAAAAAAAAAAAAAAGGAAAAAGAAAAAATAAAAATAAAGACTATAGGCATGAGTATAAATTTTCATTCTCAAATTAAGTAGAGCCTCACCACTCGCAATGCCATCACCTGGGAAACTGGAGAAATGAAGACTCACAAGCCTCTTCCCATACCTACTAAAAGGAATCTGTATCTTAACAAGATTCCCAGAGACTTATATGCACAAGGTAAAGGACCATTTTTAAGCCATCCAACTATAAGGTAATCCTT